CTCCACACTGTCTCTGGTGAAGCCTCTTGCCACCCCTCAGCCTCCGGCCTGTACCCCAGTTCTGTATGGCACAGCGGGCTAAACCACAGCACTAAGAAACTAAAGCCACTTCCGCATGAGCTCAAACCCCGCTGTCCCCAGACGTGACCACATGGCGCGGCAGACCTCTCCTGACCCTCCCACTGCTCCCCTCAGCAGTGTGTTTCGTTGATCTGCCTGTTCTGCTCCCCACTGTGTCTCTGGTGAATCCTCTCACCTGCACCTCTGGCCTATACCCCAGCTCTGTATGCATAAATAAATAAATCCTTAAAAAAGAAATGTCCTGTATGTATCAGTATTAGTTTTCTCTCAGCTACCTTTCCAAATTTTTTGTGAAATAGGTACATAAGTGATTCACAAATAATCTGTGAACATTTATTGCAGTTTCATGCTTATCACTCCTACTATCTGAGACTGTTTGCTAGATGCCAAAAACACAGTTGTTTCAAACAACAATTTTTATCTTCCTTATAAAAATCTACAAAAGCCTCTGCTACCTGTTTTCCTATCTTTTTTTTTTAACCTCTTTCTATTCTGTCGTGTTTCTGTATTTCTCCTACATTCTCTTCTTACTCCTTGTTTTAGGCTAATGTCCCACAGTTCATTCTTTCCAGATAGTTGAAAATTGGGATTTCTAAGTGGAAACCTGTATTCTGCCTAAGTAGAAAGAAACTGGCATCAACTAAGTAGAAATGAAGACATATCTGTCCTTAAATCATCTTATTGCTGAACCTCAGTCATCATTCCCCCTGATTGTTTTCCATCCACCTTTTCTTTTTCTCTTCATTATTTATCCGTGACCTCTTATTAGGGAATGGGATTCCCACTCTGTCTTTCAGAGAGCAGCATCTTCCAATATAACAAGTAAAGCACTAAAGACATATGTATTGAGATGAGACTCAAAAGAAGACAGCTACTGAGAGCTGGAAAGGTGCAATGTGGATTGTTTTGAGAGATGGGATATTTTAAGTCTAGAAAAATTGTAATCCTGGCATCAGAATTTGAAATTTAAGTCTTGCTAATAATAATACAAGTTCCAGTTGTTTTTTAACATCTTTCTCATATTTTTGTCATCCTGTACCCAAAGCAATGAAAAAGCTTCAATTGAGAGGTATGTACTATATGATTATAAAGATACTTACTATTTTTTATAGGGGCTTCTTTAACAGAATTAGACTCACCTCGATTGCCTTCTCATCTGTCAGAATATGAGCGGGATACTTTACTTGTTCAACCTGAGGTAAAATTATTAACAATACTATTTACAAGATACACATTAGTTATATTTACCTGCATATACATATGATTCCTGCATTTGTATAACTGTGTGTGTGTGTGTATGTGTGTGTGTGTGTGTTTGTGCTTCTTTTTATAGGAAGTGGTAGAAATGTCACACATGCCTGGAGAGTTATTCAATTTATATCTTCACCAGAACTATGTAGATTTCTTCATGGATATAGATGATCTTGTGAGAGCCAGTGAATTTCTGAGTTTTGCAGATATCCTCAGTGGTGACTGGAATGTAAGGTCTTTTGACTTAATTGTTTTTGTTTCCATAGAGTTGAGAAAGAAATCTACTTTTGTTCCTAATTATTTTACTTTTTATGTAACATTTAAATAACTGCCAAAATTAATTCATCCAGCTCATTATTTGTAATGAAATTTCAGTTTCATTAAATCAAATGCACTGCTGAATGAAACTCTAAATGTAACACATAGAA